AAAAACATCTCTAATCCCTCAAAAAAAAAAACATGTTTGACCCTCTCAATTCTTGCAATATATTCACACTCAATCCGCTTCTCATACAGAGCGATGTGAGTTTCCGGCAGTGAATATACAACAGTGGTGTAATACTAGATGATCTTCCCTTTGCCCTCATGCCATTTAGTTTAGGATTGACCGCTTTTCCAGTGATGTCCCTTAAGGCCGAATCATACATGACCGCAGGCAACATACCAAAGTAGCAGAACATCAACCCCTTACCTTATGACATAGTCAAAAGTCACAAAAGGGTACATAAATGAAAGTCATATCAATAATGACACGTAAGACTCACACGGTGAGGAAACAGGGATCCATTCTCTCACCTCATTACTCAGTCACCAAGCACATGCACATATAGTATGAATACATGTTACGGTGGAGTAACTCTTCCAAAAGAGTGACGTCATCCTCGATACACCGTACAGATATTAGTCTAGTCGCTTTCTAGCGCCTAACCCGAATTCTCTATTTGCTCACCTTCCAGGCGCCAAATGAGATCTCGCATCTGGCTAATTATAACAGGCACAACACGGAAAGTGGGTACTAACATCCATGTTTGGTCCTTAACACGACCTCATCTTGGTTGTAACCAAGGCGACATACATACTGGATTATTTAAGCCTCTCTCGGCTCCAAATAAAAATAAACCACTAGTCTCATCCTTTCTCGCTCCCATGCGCTAAGGGCGATTGCTCGTGTGAGTGAGCCAATCTTGCCTGCTGACATCATCATCTGCTAATCATTATGACACAAACCATAATAGTGTCAACATCCCATCATCTCAAAATAAGTGATCGATTTAAAAAAAAAAAAATTTGACCACAGCTTGCGCAATTCTAGATTCCAAACATAAGCCTTATCAGCACCTTTTGCGATAAGTATATACAATAGAATCCACCATGTGTGCCTCACATGAAGTGATTTAAGATCACTACCTCTTGCGCAATAACCTCTCTAAAGATATTTTGGTGACCAATTTGCATTCATTCAATTCAATTTATGCGCAAAATATTGGTTTTCGGGAGTTAATCTACAAAGATTTCTCTCAACCGAATAACCTCCTACTAACTATGGCATGTCTAAAAGCATGATAAATTTTTTTAATTCCATACAATATCTTTATAATGTAGATTCACAACCAACTCACGCTATGTCACAATTAATAACGGAATTTAAACAAATAACAATTAATCATGCTATTCTAATTACAACATATTAGAAACTCTAGGCAAAAATAACAATATGCTGTATTTAATATTCAAATTATGCCATAACAGAAACTATATCACTTCTGAAATTTTCTGGAATTTTCTGGTATTTTCTGGAATGATTTTTGTACTACCGGACTCCATTTTTCACAATAAAAACATTTATGGCATAAAAAATGACATTTATGAACATGAAATGACGTATTTTATGGGACATCTTCCTCCATAATAAATAGTCATGTATATATGTAAATATACACATGATAAAAGAAAGCACGAAAATATCCATACATGCTCTGATACTAATGTAAATCATAAAGCATTATAACGCAGCGGATAAAATGTCAGAATCTTACCTTTTAGCGAAGAACCTCGTGGATAAATCACGTACTTCCAGAATCTGATAAACCAACCCAGCAGTGGAGTGATATTACAGAATGAATATCACCCACATAAATCACAGTGCAAACGGCTTTGATCGAGCAGATATTTTTTTATTGGTGAGAGATTTATTAGCTGTAAAATAGCTTGGTGACAAGTTTGTACATTCATATTATGTGTTTTAATCCATTTACATATGTGTGAAGATATCGACATTAACTCATTTCTTTTCTTTATTGGGTATCATGACAAAATCTCAATTTCACCAATGTTATATGTATAGAAAAGCTTGTGTTAGCTTCAAGCTCCTCTTTATTAATGTATTTTGTCATACGTTGTATGTTTCATCAATAAAGATCATTTGCTTCGCCGTTCAAAAAAAAAAATGTATAGAAAATCTATATACAAAATGATAAATGAGACCCACACATATATGAAAACTTATACGTATTTTGTACACATATTCTGTGTAAATAGTATTTTCTTTTAATTTTTAAAAAAATCTTATAAATGGTGATTTGCAGCACCAAATGAATGACAAGCTCATATCCTAATAATGACCAACCTGCTGACTATCATAATTACTCCCATTGAGGAATGTGCAATCATTTGAAATGTTTTAACAAATGTCTTAAAAGCTTTTTTAAATAAACCTACCTTCTTATTCACATCATTTTATAATTTTTTGTATATAATATTTTTATTTGTATGATGAGTGCCGGAAATATAAGTCAATGGATCCAAAATTGACTTGATTCTCATTATAGTTGAACATATAGCAAGTTAATTAATAACAAATGTCTTAAAAACTTTTTAAAATAAACCTACCTTCTTATTCACATCATTTTATAATTTTTTGTATATAATATTTTTATTTGTATGATGAGTGGCTGAAATATAAGGCAATGGATCCAAAATTGACTTGATTCTCACTATAGTTGAACATATAGCAAGTTAATTAATTTAACACCATTTTCTAGTTGATATTAATCAAGGAATGAAATACCAAATACCAAGAGAGAAAATTCTTGAAAAGCTCAACCTAAAAAGGTATAAAATATTAAATTCAGTAGATATTTTTTTATTGGTGAGAGATTTATCAATTGTAAAATAGCTTGGTGACAAGTCTGTACATTCATATTATGCGTTTTAATCAATTTACATATGTGTGAAGATATCGACATTAACTCATTTCTTTTCTTTATTCGGTATCATAACACAATCTCAATTTCACCAATGTTATATGTATAGAAAAGCTTGTGTTAGCTTCAAGCTCCTCTTTATTGATGTATTTTGTCATATGTTGTATGTTTCATCAATAAAGATCATTTGCTTCGCCGTTCAAAAAAAAAAATATATGTATAGAAAATCTATATACAAAATGATAAATGAGACCCACACATATATGAAAACTTATACGTATAATCTCAATTTCACCAATGTTATATGTATAGAAAATCTATATACAAAATGATAAATGCGACCACACATATATAAAAACTTATACGTATTTTGTACACATATTCTGTGTAAATAGTATTTTCTTTTAATTTTTAAAAAAATCTTATAAATGGTGATTTGCAGCACCAAATATCCTAATAATGACAGCTTGTGGACTATCATAATTACTCCCCTTGAGGAAGGTTTTTTTTTTTTTAACGGACTTGCTATAATGGCAATGACAACCATTATATCAAACCCTTCTCCAACAAATCTTCTTTCCCTTCTTCTTCTTCTTATTCTACATCCTCCTCCTCATCATCTTACTCTCACAAACGATCTATAGAGAGATAGTTGGAGACAATTTTGGAGAGAATTTTAATTATTTGGGTCTCCGATTGAGATCTCTGACTTTGATCTGATTCGAACGTAAAAGTAACGGTAAGCCTATTTTGCGAACTTGAATATAATCTGCTTTTTCGTTTATATTCTTGTTTTTTTTATTTATTCATAAAATTATTTAGCTTTGTGTGAGACGTGGGTTGATTTTTGGCTTTTTAATTTTTTAATTATTTTAGTTTAGGTTAAAGGGTTCATTTAGATAGATTTTTTTGATTTTTTTAAACTTTTATAAGAAAAAAAATGAAATGATTTTAATTTAGATGTGATATTTTGTCTAATTAATTTTTTAGTCTATTTTATTTTTTTGTAACTATTTTAACTCAAAATCAAGATGCCAAACAAAACTTTAGATATTTTTTTGTTTTCTCTAATATTATTTATTCATGGTATCACAATTGTAGGCAAATAGATAAATTCATCATATCATCACATACAATCTGTGAAATTATAGTTTTATTATCACATAAGACTATTTTAATATTACATCACAAAAGAATATCTTGATAATTTTAAAAGTTGACTAATTTTCAACTTTCAAATGATTTTTTTGCTCAAAACAACTTGATAGCAGCTTCTATCGTTGCTTCCAAAATAGGCCAGTTTTCGAGTTTTATTTGGACTCACATGTGAAATGGTCGCTCATTCTTTGGAGAAGTTATTTTGCAATTTTAGGACATGGTGACATGATGCCTTGGTGTGTTCAGATTGGTAGAGAATGTGAGATTTATATCTTCTCTCTACATTTTTATCATTCATATTTTTCTATTTTTTATTTTTTGGATTTCATTTTATGTCCACAATGATAATTTAAATTGTTTATCTCGTAAATTTCACGATAAAGACCGTCTATGCAAAAAATAACTTCATTGGATATTGATAAATACATAAACAAATCATCTTTGTTTTATAAAATGAAATATGTAAGTTTAAACTCACAATTACTGTCCATTTAATAAAAAAGATACAATTTATTCATATATCTAATAATGTTCGATGAAATTAATTTTTTGCATAACCCATCTAAATTGTTGAGATTACAAGATGTACGGTCTAAATTATTAATGTGGGCCTACACTACAACATATAAAACTTTTGGCGACCAATTATTTTGGTCCGTAAAACTATTATTTTGGTCTCTAAATGGCTTTTGTGACAAAATTAATTTCGTCACTAAAAACTATTATTTTGTAATAAATATATGTATATTACCAATGTTGATTGCTAGAGTATTGTCATGAACATGAAAGATTTGGCAACTTCAAGATGTAATATGTAGCTACCAGATTGATTTTACAAGACTAAACATTTGGTGGCTAATACTTCGTCATAAAATGTCCCAATTTGGTCGCAAAAAACAAAATAATGACATTTTTAATGACAATGATATTTGGTCGCTAAAAAACATATAACTTTCTCTACAACACATTTTCATCGCTAAAAATTGAAGTTGAGAATTTTGTAATCATTTAATCTCATAGCTAAAAATGCACACAATTAAATGTCATCCAATCATATTAAAAAAAATTGACATCCACACATCAAAGGCACTCTATTCCCAAACCATAATGAGTATGTAGAAAGTAAAATTTTACAAAAATTAAAACTGAAAGTTTCCAAATTCAAATCAAAGTAGTAACAGTTCAAATGAAGAATAACAATAGTTTCTTCAAAGAGAATCTCTAAAAAAGCATTTTCTCAACATCAATATCAGGCTTTATATCAGACAGCCTTGGCACAAGAGGCTTCAAGCTGTACTTAGGTGTGACACCCTTTGGACATCCCTGCAACCCAAAATTCAAAAAGAAGAATCAAATAATAAGAATCAACACAACATAACCTCATTAAATAATCAATAGTCATTCATAATCAAAGAAGTTACAAATAATGGAAAAGCACGTTATCTCAGAACAAGCTATCTCTAATTTATGGGATCAATTGTTTTGTGACATAATAAATTAACAATCATATATGGACCTCCACCAAGGGAGATTTGTATATATGTTTGTCTCTCTCTCGGTTACCGGGGGGAGAGACAATAAATATTGGAGGGTGGCGAGGGTGATTCTTTGAAACCTATCGAAGCAGGGGATCCAAATCTTACAGGGCCATTATGAGCCCTGCTGCTTCTACTGTAGTATTGATTCTGATGCCCTGCTCTGCTGCGTCTACTGTAGTACTGATTCTGATGCCGAGCAATAAGAAGAGTCTCCATAGGAAATTTATCAGCAGTGAATTCAACTACGATTACTCGATCCAGTTAAGCCAATTCTAAAACATTAACATTCAAGATCTATACTAACTCAAAATACCTCTGGATCTTCTCCATAACCACCAAAAACTGAGTAGATTTGAGTTAATTTCAGTAAATCCAAACCATGCGTCAAGCATATATGTAGATCGACAAGAACCAGCAAAATAAGTCTTCCTTGATCTCTTCAAAGCAGCAGTCGTTGATTCAATGATTAGATCTATACAAAAACAAAACAGATCAGCGAAAAACTAAGCTAAACCAAACCGAATCGATTTCATTTTCTTGGAGAAAGTTGGAGAGAAAATTACCTGAACAGGCCCCACAAATTGAAAACTCTACAACATTTTGAAACATTAGCAGATTATTCCAGCTAAATGACCAGATTTAGGCTGAGGCATCATAAAAAACTCAAACAATTTGAGGTTTAAATGTCATTATTGTCTAATATTAAACCTTGATCTTTGTAACGACAAGGCATGGACCCCATGTCTTTCCACTGACAAATTGGGGACTAATCATTTTTCAATTCTCACATTTCTATCATTGGCATTGCACAATACCAAAAAACAATATCATATTAATGTTGAAACAAGTTTTTCGATCTACGTCACTATTGCCCTAAAATATTTTTGTTACATGATATGCCCACTACCAGCACAAGAAATCCACATTGGACCAATATAACAAATTCATATTTCATCATGCTTAGGTTCCTGTTAGAAGCCAGGGAAGCAAAGGCACGAGCCTACAGAACATATCATGTTCAAGCAAGGACACATATTTCATCATCCAGTACTATTTGGCATTGTTGTGATTCTAGGTGACTCACTTTCTTGTTGTGTTGATTCTTATTATAGCTCACAACTACTCCAAGCACGTTATCATAATCAAATGTTCTACATAACAAACACACTATAAATATGACAGATCTATCTAGAGCAAAAGGTACTTACTATGATGGTAAATCAGAAGTAAAAGCTCCCCGACTAATCTGTTGCAGCACCAAATCAATCTTGGCATTGACCTCCACGCTATTAGACTCCAAGTTATGCACTCTTGCATCCAGTTCCTCATTGATTCTCCGTTGCTCTTCAAGCTCCCTTCTAATTTCCTCATTTTCTATCTCAAGAGCAGCACGAGTACGTCGACCAGATGCTGTTATAATAGGTTTAGGACCACGTCCTAAACCACTTATGTAGCCAGACTTATGCCCAAACACCTCAATGGAAAGCTGCTCATCCAGTACTATTTAAAGGTCAGTTGTTTACCTCATCGTATTGCACCTTTCTAAATGCCTTTGAGCTAGCAGTATGGAGGACTTTAAGCTTAAACTGATTTTCCTTGTTTTTCTGACATTTCTCCTACATGAAGTGTAAAAATATATTCAAAAGAAATCAAGTCTATGTGCCCAAATGCTTAGTAACAGCAGCAGCCACAAGTGTGTGCAAGTGCATTACAAGTGTGTTCAACAATTACCTGGTACTTCTCATCATCCCATAATTGCCATAGGTATCGCCACACCTCTTTTTCGATATCTTCATTTGGGTTTGCAAGGGCTAATTCCATCGTAAGGAAACTTCTAAAATGTTGGCGTAGATTAAAGTGATAGTTCTTGTACTGGAGTTTCATCATTCCAAGAATAGAAGGAATAGCATAAGGTTCATTATTAAAAATGAAACCTTCCTGCCATACCAATAAAATTAAATACTTCAAAATATTAAGAAACATAATTCATAAACTAAAAGGGAATATTAAACCAGACAAAAATAAAAACTATCTTACTCGAAGGTATGCAATTAGCGTTTCTTTATCCTCAGGGCTAATAAATTTCCACTTAGGCACATTTTGTGGGGCAAATTGCCTAGTGACGATCCCCAACTCGGTGGTGAATTTATCAGACCACGGTCCCAATGGATTCCCAGTGATCCTACAAATCTCCTAGTGGAATCTGATTACACCCTTACACCCTGTTTGGTGGCAGTAAAGCTTGGTAATATGTTCTTGCTCTAAGTCTCTATGCAAGACATACTTTTATCCAAATCTCCTAGTGGAATCTGATTAATTTAACTTGGTAAGTTTCTGCCAACTTGAAATCAGGTTCAAAGTGGATTTGGTGTGATTACATTTCTCATATCATGACAAGTCAGATGTACAAGTACACTGGCTTTTAAAACATTAGCTGATGCTTAGAGCTGATCATGGTACAGTAGATATTCAAATGAATCTCAAATGATCTTTTTTCCTAGATTTATTTTTATATCTTACTTTTATTTATGTAACAAAAGTTAATACATTATGTATAGGGTTCACCATATTCAACTAAAATAGCAACCTGAAAATCAGAACATAGGCAATGATGAAGAATAAATTAAGTTAGGGCTGTTAAGTGAGGTCCCGACTTTTCAATGGTTAAAATGATGAAAATAATTGGTCTCAAATTGTTTTTAATTGATAATAACGAAAGTATGTGGTCCCTAAAGATGTAATAATATATTAGCAACTAAATTTATTGGTCTAAAAAAATTATGTAAATATTAAGTGAGAATATTAATAGTCATTTTTACAATCTTATACATAAATTATGATATGTTTAAATTTGTCCCTAAAAGATTATTTTTAGCAACCAAATTTAATTGGTCTCTAAATAACTAATATCTTGTAGTGCATGCATACATATGTTCGGTTTTTAATTCAAAGATGACATCAAATTAAGATTAAAATGAGAAACACTTTATTTGAAAGTAAATAATTGAAAGCCTTGAGTAAAAGAGATGGAGTCAAATGGCCAAAATTTTGAAAATTACTAAAATGTCACTCATCAAACCAAAGGTCACTCATTAAACCAACCCTGAGTCCTTGTTTTTAGCCATTAATTGGCACTCTCCATGTGGGTGTATTTTTGTGTGTGCTGGTGGGAAAATGGGTTTGCAAAAGGCTGTCCCAGCCCTCTGTCCCAATCAAAGCTCTCTTTCTTTTGCAATTATAACTCCCCTGTTTCTGTATCCAGATGCTTTAGATGGTATTTCTCTCTGGTTTATGTAACTCCATTGTTTCTGGTTTTTACATGTACAAATGGCACCAATGGCTACTGCTTGATATATATATGTATATTACCAATGTTGATTGCTAGAGTATTGTCATGAACATGAAAGATTTGGCAACTTCAAGATGTAATATGTAGCTACCAGACTTATTAAAAGAATGGGGGGAAAGAGAAGTTTAAGGTCTCACAAAAATATCAGGAATATCTACCTATAAAATGGCAGGTTCCGTATATTATATATACCATCAAGACCACAAAAAGAATATTTTCCATATTACTTCAATAATGTCTGAGGCAATCATACTTTCTATAAATCAGGGCAATAACAAAGAAAGGTAGCATGATAGTTCAAGGTTCACATATTAAGGTTTTTAGCCAAAAAGTCACTACAAATTAACATGGAAAATTACCTAGGTAACAAAATATTGTAAAGGTCCTGCGTGATCCTGTTACCAAAGGGATGCAACTTGTAAAATTCGCACAAGGAGAGGCAATTATCAATCATGTTAGAAGGTTTAGGATTTAGTGTGTTGACAATTTCCATAGACATCAATGTGCATATTCAGGTTTATTATCAATTATCTTAAATTTTTGAATAAAATCATCTTCCATTTTGTTGCTAAACAGTTTTGACAATATTTATGCTAGGACAATTTTGCAGCAGAGACTAGAAGAGTTTGCAGCAGGACAGTTTTACAGTTCTTCATCTCCAACACGCATTAGATTAGACATACATGTACGCACACACACAAGTTCAATCTCTGTAAAGAATTCTTCAATTCTAACACGCATTAAGATAAGAAACAACTTCAATCTATGTAAAACATAGATTGAAACATGCATTAGTTTGCTTTGTTTTTTTGTTTGCTTTGTATATGCAAAACACAGATTGAAACACAAACAAGTTCAATCTATGTAACGCATTAGTTTGCATTGTGGATGCAAAACACAGATTGAAACACAAACAAATTCAATCTATGTAAAGAATTGGAGCTATTACAGGTCAATTATGGAGATCGATTACAGTAATTGAAAGTTTGAATTGGAGCTCTTACAGGTCGATTACGGAGATCGATTACGGAGAGAGAGAGAGAGAGAGAGAGAGACACCAAAATTTGAAGAAGATTGAGCTCCCAATCTGCCTTGGATCTCAGACTTTAAGGCTGAAGATTGAGCAAACCTGTTGATAGAGAGACTGAGCAAGTTAGGGCTGAAGTGAAGTGAGGTCCCGACTGTTCAATTGTTAAATGATGAAAATAATTGGTCTCAAATTGTTTTTAATTGATAATGACCAAAATATTTGGTCCCTAAAGATAGTAAAAATATATTAGCAACCAAATTTATTGGTCTAAAAAAATTATGTAAATGTTAAGTGAGAATACTAATAGTCATTTTTACAATCTTATATATAAATTATCATATGTTTAAATTTGTCCCTAAAAGATTAATTTTACCGACCAAATTTAATTTGTCCCTAAATATTAGTCCCTAAAAGACTAATTTCTTGTAGTGCTAGAATGGAGCTCAAAAAGTCAAAGTATGGAAGAGTATGGAGGGGAGTCATTCTTCCAAGAGGGGCAAATAATTTTTTTCATTTTTTTGCTTATGTTTTTTTTTTCTTAATAGATTTTTGCTTATGTTCTTAGGGAACATTGTTTCAGTTTTCAAAAATAAATTTTTTATTTTTAATTTATAGTTTTTTAGTTAATTTTTTTAATAAATATTTGTGAAGAAAATTTTTAAAAAAATAATAAATACTACAAAATACAACAAAATATATATAAAAATTTTAGAATATTTTGTATTTATTGAATTTTTGAAAGATCTTTTCACAAATAATTTGCTTTTTAAATATATTTAATTTGTGATGAAGTATTCCTCCTCATAATTAAAATTCTCTCTATAGATTCTTCCACAGCCTATCCAATCTCTCTTTAACAAGACAGATGGTATGCCTCTCTCTCTCTGACTAGCATGTATGTATATTTGTGACCCTATAAATGGTCATCTCTCTTTTGTGCTACTGAGACTTTGGTCTTATATGTTTGAGTGTTTAAGGTACATACTCTTTTCAGATTTGAGCTGGATTTCTTGTGTTTTGCAGTGGAAGATTTATTACTTGTTTTTAATTTGTGATGAAGTATTCAAATGTGGGTTTCTTCTGTTTGTTTGTTTGTTTTTGTTTTAATGTTTGGTGCTAGAAGACAGAGCCCGTTTGATTTTTTTTGTTTTGTTTGTTTTGTTTTGTTTTGTTTTGTTTAAAGTCACACATAAATTGGATGATTGAGACAGCTTATGTGCTGATTTTGTGTTACTAAAATTGTTTTTAGATTCTTAATTTTTTGAAGAATTTTTTTGTGAAATTAAATTGTTCAATTTTTTGTTGTGAATGTTAGATGTTTTTAGCCAAAATAGTAACTGGAAAAATGGGAGGAAGTTGAGTTGGCCATATAATTTTCTTCCTATTTCTATCATATGCCCATTCAATTCAATGGTATCCTCTAATCTCTATCATTTTCTTCTTTGTATGGCCATATAATTCTTTTGGCCCCAACTATTAATTAGGTATACCTCCAACATGAAATATGTGAAACACGTGATAATTACTCCCATTGAGGAAGGTTTTTTTTTAGTGGATTTGCTATAATGACAATGACAACCATTATATCAACGCACTACCAATGCCTTTATTTAGTATAGACTCAGCTCATATGTACCCATAATTCACCATATCTGTAGTGGTGGAGTTAAATAAGAAATTAGTGTCAGACATTAATTGGAAAAGTCAATTAATGAAGATTTTGGACAAAATTGCTGTTAATGGGTTAGCAAAGGGCTAGTTAAATATTGCCTCTCAAGTTAAATATTAAAATGAAATCTTCTTTAAGTCTTTAAACAATTGACACTTTCATTAATATTGATAAGGATTCTAGTGCAGAAGCAACAGCCACAGCTTCAGCTTCAGCAGCAGCCACGGCTTCAACTTCAGCAACAGCTTCTGATATGGATTCTTCAGCAGTCTAGAACAGAGCTTTATCTGTGATGTCATGTAATCAGTTAGGAATTGGTTAGCTAATTGTTAGGAGTTAGTTACACTGTTAGGAGTTAGTTATCTGCTTAGCTCAGCAATAGTTTACCTTCTATAAATACAGCTTGTATGTACTTTCAAGATAAATAATAAGAAATGCATTTTCCACATGGTATCAGAGCAATAAAGCTCTCATGAGCATTCTTGGGTTCTTGATTTCATTTTCTCAGTTCTTCCAAGAATCTTCAAATTTTCTCAATCATTCTTCAAAGTTCTTCAATCTTCTTCAATGGAAACTCCTACCTCAAATGCTCTTCCTTCAAATCTTAGTCTTCTCATTTCAAATCTCAGTTCTTTCATAACTGTAAAACTAGATTCTTCAAATTTCATCATTTGGAGAAGTCAATTTCTCAATATACTGCGTGCTACAGATTTGCTAGGGTTTGTTGATGGTTCTCATTCTTCTCCACCATCAACAATTACAAATGTAGATGGAACCACAGCAGTTAATCCATAATTTCTGTAGTGGAAACAAATTGATGCACATCGATTGAGTTGTCTAACAGCTACACTCACACCTGTAATTTTCTCTTCTGTTTTACATCTTCAACATAGTGCAAAGGTTTGGCAAGTTCTGTCAAAACGATTTACTACATTGTCTCGCAGTCACATTCATCAACTGAAAATCAATTGACTAATCTGACCAAGACTTCTCAGTCAATTGAAGAGTATCTGAGTCAGATTAAAGAGTTAGCTGATCAACTTGCTCTTGCCTCTTCTCCTGTAGATGCAAAAGATCTTGTTCTTATTACACTGAATGGTTTACCTGAAGCATTTGATGCTTTTAAAACCACAATCTGAGCTAGATCAGAAGCCATCTCTATGGAAGAACTTTCATCTCTTCTATGCTCAGAATCTATTCACATGCATTCCAAGATCAAGAACATTAATACTCATGAACCTTCAGTTGCATATGCTGTCTAGTTCTAAGCACAAGGTTCAAAGGCGAACTAAGCTCAAGATGACCTCGGCTACGCACACACCGAACAAGGGACAAGATCACGCAAGTAATACTAACAAAACAAGGTAAATAAATCCTTCCAATTAACATAATAAAGCAAGACCATGCAAGAATGTATGCAAGTATGACAAGAGTAAGGTGAGGGTTGTTACATATGCTGCTTCTCGTGGTTCTTCTCATGATTTTTCTTCTCAAGGCCGATCTTATTTCAAAGGTCACAGAGGTGGTTCTCGACATGGCTCCTGAGGACATTTTTCATCTAGAGGCAGAGGTCGACACTCATCCAGCAGTCACCATCACAATTTAATTTGTCAGATATGTGGAAAACCTAATCACTCTGTAAGGACCCACATTCATGTCTTAGTCATATTCATGTGTATTCACATAACTTTGTCTTGTTAAGTTGCATTCATGAATGTTGTATTGTTTTGCTCAAGTGTTGATTGCATGTTTTGTTCTCTCCTTGCTGTCTCGAGCCTAAGTCATGCTAAGCCTAAGTCGTGTTAAGCCTAGGTTATTCCAAGCCGAGGTCATCTTAAGCCTAGAACTATCTTGGAACCACTTTGATTGACCTCCACCTTTGCCCTAACATATTGGCCGAGATGTCATTATCTAGGCCGAGGTGTTCATTACCAAGGCCGAGATGTGTATCATCTAGGCTGAGATGCTATCCTTGAACCCAAATGATCTTGTTCCTGGACAGGCATGACCTAGACTGAGGTGTGGCACATCTAGGCCAAGGTGTGGCACAGCTTAGTCAAGTGTTGTCCTTCCTAGCCGAGGTCATTGTCACCTTAGTTGCCGAAGCTTTGTCCTTAGCCGATGTCATCACTTGCCGGAGTGCCTTGTCGTGTAGCTTGTTAGATACGCTTTGTCTTACACATGTCTTGTCAATCTATCACCTTTTTGAGGAGAACCAACCAACCGTTGCCACGTGTCCGAACTGAGTGTTAAATCAGCCGGCAGAGAGAGAGAAACCTACCATTTGTTATATCCTTGTTTTGAAGAAGAGAGAGAAGCTCTAGGGGAGGAAGAAGAGTTCTTGAGGGAGAGTAGATTTCCAAGCTTGATCCCTAGAGATCGAACCGTTAGATCCGTGTTCTAGGGTTAGATTCTTGATCTACTCATGTTGTTCTTTATGATCATGTTATTGCATTGCATGATTGAATATGATTTGTAAGCCATGCATTGCTTTGAAGTTCGGTTTTAGAAAGAGAATATAGTATTCATGTGTTCCTCAAGAAAAGTCATGTTTTGATCCGAAAGCTCATGCCAAGATCCATGTTTTTGTATTTGTTTTCATATGATCTTCAAGTATGGGTACCTAGGTCCATGTTTTCGAACTCATAGCATGAAATCCTAGATTTTGTATAAACAAGTTATGATTTTAGCATTCATGTTCTTCATGTTCACCAAGA